TCTGCAGGTCTAGAGGCTGTTTCAATCCCAATATCCCATCAATGCAGAAGCATATCCATGTACAGATGGGATAGAGATCCCAAACGTAAGCACATTGTGGTGGGAGGCAGCAGGTGCCCACAGCTGTGGTGGGCAGCGGGGCTGAGTGGGCTCAGAGCAACCAGGATGTGGGGGGCACATGAGGTGCTGGAGATGGCCAAGCCCCAGGTGACCACGTGGCCACCCAATGACTCCTGGGTCTGTCCTGGGACCTGGGAACCACCCAGGTGATAGAGGTAAGCTGGCCAAGGTGCCAGTGTGTTCATTCCCAGCTCCTGGCAAACCAATTTCAGGTCAGCCATCCCATCTGTGCCTCAGTTTCCCTGGACAGCAGCACAGTGTAGTGTGTGGTCAGGGATAAAGATCACCATAACATGGCCAGAGTGGAGCTGGCACAGCGCCAGGACAGCCCTGGGACAGGCCCGAGGAGAGGATACTCCCCAGCACAGGGAAGTGCCCACACTCTGCCCGGGCTGCTCCAGCACAGTTTGGGGTCTAGGCTCAGCAGCTGAAGGGCTGAGCTGTGCCAGAGCTTGTTCTGCAATCCTAGCTGAGCTCGGGAAACAGCAGAAGAGTGGCCCTGGCTGCCTGGGCACGTCCAGTCCCCGGCAGCAGCTCCTGCCCCGGAGCAGTGAGCACCTCCTGCAGCTGGAGGAGTCTCATTATCCCCGGGACAGGGAGGAAGAGGTAAAGGAGATGGATAATGGGAATTTTGGGTTCTTTCCTTGGTGCTCTGTGGTTTGTAAATGTCCTTGAGTCCTGCCTCTTCCTTTTGCTCCCACTTGGTGCTGGAACTCCATGAAGGGCTGGCGTGCTTCCCAAAGCACTGGGATGATCTCCCAAGCATCCTGGGAGGACGGGATGAAATTTAACATGTTCAATTCACAAAAAACAGATTTGTAACTGAAYTTGGATMCACCCCAAGCCTCTTACTGCCCTCWCCCTCCATCCCACACAGGGGACACAGCCAGTGGTGCTGCATRTTCCACTACCAGCTCCAGGGTCAAGGGTCAGGGTCATTCTCTGAGCACCCCTGATGCTGGAGCGGCCAGGCTGGAAGTGGCTGCCCCATGCCTGCACCCCACCGAGATCCTGGCTGCTCCCCCATCTGTCCCAGTCTGACATCCCGCTTTGTTTCCATCCCAGCTGAAATCCCAGGCTCCGGGCAGTGTGGAGGAGCTGCGCTGTCTGCAGATGCTCAATCAGCAGCCCGAGGGCTCCAGCCTGGAGGAGCTGAGCAGCAGCCAGGGCTGTCTCAAGCTGGCCAGCACCATCAAAGCCTATGTGGCCACGGTGAGCCAAGAGGAGGATGGGAGAGCTCCTGGCTGTCCCCCTGCCTGAGTGTGCCCATCCACCTCACCAGAGCAGTGGGAGCGGGGAGTGGCCAGAGTTGTTTCAGGTGGGAGTGGGAGCGAGGAGCTGGTGGAGTCCAGAGACAGCGTAACAGAGAAGGTGATGGAGGCTTGGAGGAGGAGCTGGGGCGTGGGGAATGCCTGTGTCACCTTTACCCAGGGGCTTTCTCTTCTCTGTGGCGCAGGTGACAGAGAACATCATCCGCAGGAGCGCTGTGAAGGGTGAGTGAGTCCCTCCTGGCCTGGCTCCAGGGCTGCAGCCAGAGCTGACCCGCAGGAGCCGTGACCCACGGTGGCAGTGACCTATGGTGGCAGTGACCCACGGGAGGCCAGAGGGAGGTGGGAGGGCAGGTCACTCCCAGGGCAAACTCCGCTACTGTGAGCTGGGGCAGGAGAGGGCAGAGCCAGGATTGTCCCACTGGCAATGACAGGCCCACATTCCAGGAATGGGCTGTGGGGACAGCCATGTCCATTTATCCGGAGTCCAGGGAGCCAGGGCCATGGCACAGCACACAGGGGTTGGTTGATGATTGACGAGACATTTTCATCCTTCAGTAACCTTTCTCTTGGGTGGGTCAGTGGGGCATTTCCCAGCTGCACTGGCACAGGGCCGGATGTCCCCAGCTCTGTCCTGACACCGTGTCCCTTTCCTGCAGAGGCCTGGCGCAGATACTTCAACACCTCGGAGGGGCAGCTGCCTCCCAAAGCAGCCGGGAAGCCCTCAGCACACCTCGCCCTTCGCCCACAGAACCTGGCYCAGGATGGTGAGTCGGGGAACCCCTCTAGGCACTGGGGGCTCTCTGGGATGGGAACAGGGCAGAGCCCTTCCCAAAAGGGCAGGGGACCCAGGATGGAGAAGGTGTGGGGTGGCTGATGGGGAGAGGGCTCTCTTGTTCGCTCCTAGACCCCTTCTCCACTGCTCCAGGCTGGATGGCTGGAAGGAGTCAGAGCCACCTCCTCCTTGAGCTGCCCCGAGCGGCCACTCCCTCAGCGCCCCTTCCTTCCCACAGGGAGCTCCCAGCGCTTCGGGAACCTGTCCCAGTCATGCCGCCACGCCATCACGCACTGGGGGCACGGCAGCCTGCACTCGCACGTGCACAACATGACGTACCGGGCCGGGCGGCTGCGCGTCGAGCAGCCGGGCAAGTACTACGTGTACTCGCAGATCTACTTCCGCTACCGCGGCGCCGGCGCSCGCGACTCGGGCCCGCAGCTCGTGCAGTGCATCCAGTGGCAGCCGGCGCACAGCCAGCCCGTGCTGCTGCTCAAGGGCGTGGGCACCAAGTGCTGGGCGCCCGAGGCCGACTACGGGCTCCACGCGCTCTACCAGGGCGGACTCTTCGAGCTCAAGGCCGGCGATGAGCTCTTTGTCTCCGTCTCCTCCTTGGCCATCGACTACAACGATGCAGCAGCCAGTTACTTCGGGGCCTTCCGGCTCGACCTGTGACATCCCCTCCGCTCCCACCGCTCCCAATGGCCCCTGGACAGCAACCRATGGCCTGAGGGTGGCACAGGGTTGGCCCTCGCGGTGCGGGATGAGCCAAGAAGGGCACAAAGGTGGCTGCCCGCAGGGACTCGCTGGGCTCGGTGCCATTCTCCAGCTGGGAGGAAGCCAGTGAACCACAAGGGGCTCCAAGGACCTGCAGGGGACATCCCAGCCCTGGTGACACATCACCTCCCAATGGCTCCCTGCAGCAGGAGAGGCACCAGGGCCACACCTGTCACTGCAAGACAAAGTGTCCCTGTGGCAGGGTGACCCCTATGAGACTGACCCTACTTTGGGCAGGGGTGTGGGTGCCAGGGTCTCAGRRCTGGAAGCACCCCTGGGACACCTCYGGGGCAGAGCTCACAGGGATGGGGCAGRTGCAGTGTCAGCCTCTGGAGGGGAAGGAAGGAGTTTCAGTTTGGATCAGAAGCCTGGGGCGATGTCAGCAATGGTTGCAGGGAGGCCAAAGGGCAGGACCGTGACACCGGAGCAGCCGCCATCCCGGCACCACACCTGGCACGTGGCACTGGGGCACGTGGTGACCGAGCCAGGCTGAGGCAGGCCAGGGGCTCAGCATGGCCACTGACCAGGCACCTCTGGCCGCGGGGATTCTGTCCCCTCAGCYCTCATGGACAGCGCAGTCCCCACCTCCTCACACCTCCAGCCCGGCAATCCCTGTGGGATTCCAGCTCCAGGTGAGCCCAGCAGTCACCAGCAGGACTTGGAGGGACCAAACCAACCCCGGGGTGACAGAGGCCACCCCAGAGGCCAAAGGTGGGTTCAGGCAGGGCAGAGTGGGGCCCAGCTGTGCCCACGGGCCCGGGGGCTGGGCACAGCCCCCTTTTCTATACCCTTTTCTGGGTATTCACAGGCAGAGCGGTAGTGGGGCTCCCTTGAGGATGGAATAAAGTCTGTACCCAGCACAAGTTTGGCCCCTTGGCACACAGGACACAGCCTGGSACAGTTGGGGTGCCCCAGAGCTCCAGAGTCCAGCAAAGACTCCTGCTCATCTTGCACCCCCAGCACCTCCAAGGGCTGCACAGCTGCTGCCCCCACGCACCGCTGGGCGAGTCCCAAGGGAAGGTGTCCCTGCTTCTCCACCCCGTGCCTTCCTCTCCCRTGGGACAGCTCCTGCAGGAACCCCCAGGACCTGAGCCTGGCCCTGCTCCTCGGGCTCCCCTGCACCCACCAGCTCCCAGGGGATCCCAGGGGACCCTGCTGCTCCTCCTCTCTGAGTTCAGGACTGCCAGCCCCAGCCTAGGGCACAGCCAGACCCCAGGGGCTGCTCCTCACTCCTGCCATCCCTGCCACAGCTTCCAGGCCTGACTGCTGGCCCTCCACACCCTTGGCAAAGGCTGGGGGCTGAGCCCACATCCCCCCATACCCCCGGGTCTGGCCATTCCCACTCTCCAGCCCCGTCTCTTGTGGGCTCCTGATCCAGGGGGCTGATCCGACCCCCACAGAGCACARTGCCACCCTGGCACCTGCACACTAACACCTGGACTAGCCCCAAACACAAAGGAGGATTCTCCCAGAACCTCCCAAATCTCATCCAAAGCCTGAGAGCACCCTCCTGCAGCYTCCAAAGGGGGCACAGGGCTGATCCCCCGCTGGCAGGGCTGYAGGGTCTCACTCTCCCATTGCCCATGGAGGGATGTGGGGAGCTGAGCTGAGCCTTGGCTCTGCAGCACTTGGCCCTGGAGCACATTGGGCTCTCACCCAAAGCAAACAAGACACTACAAACCCCTCCACTCTCAAACCATCCCTTCTCCTCCACCTCTCATCCCACCTTCTGCTGTCCCAGCTATCGTGGTGACTACAGCAGGGCTCTTGACATCTCTGGTCCCAAACAGCCCCAGGCAGCTCCAAGCTTATCCTGCCTCTGGCAGCAGCCATCGGAGAGCAGAGCTGAACCAGCCAAGCCAGGGTCACAGGAAATGCCGCAGGTGGCTCCAAGATTTCCTCTGAAAGGGAGTTTGAAGTGGACATGGCTGATGGAAGTGGCAGGAGGCTGCGCTTGCCACGGAGGAAGCAGGGAAAGCAGCTCAGTGTGCGTGAGCAGGGAGAGCTGGGCTTGGAGCCAGTGGGAAAAGGGCCACCCTGCCTTTCTGGAAAGGAGAGGGCTCGTGGGTGGGTGGACGGGAGAAGGAGAACTCCAGCAGCATCAGGGCAAAGAGCAGCCTCACCCTGTCTGGGGAGAGCCAAGCAGTCCTGGAACTCCTCACTGTGAGGGACTGGCACCAGTTATCCTAAACAGCCTCAGCCCCCCAGGCCCCTGTGCCTCTGCCAGCGTGCTCCCTGTCCTGGTGCTTCCAGGAGAGGGGCTGGACACCCTGAGCCTGGCCAGGGCCGTGCTCCCACCTGGACAAGGGGGTTGGCTACCAGCAGGAGAACCCAGCAGCAGGAGAACCCAGCAGCAGGAGAACCCAGCCTCTAAAAACCACCCCAGGCACCTGTGCCTGCACTGTCCGTCCCAGGACTTGCTCCAGGGGAGAGGAACAAAGTGTGGAAAGACCTGGATGAGGACACAACACTTCTCTCCGAGCGAGGAAACAAAATCTGCTGCACAAGGGGARCAAAGTATTGAAGATTTCTCATACAGCTTTTTATTCTCAAAATTGTTTATTAAAAATTAMATCTCGCTATTTTGGCATGAGTATTGCTGACGGGTTCACTGCAGCTCCTACTAGCAAGTGAAGTCAGTGGTCACTAAAACAACTTTGTATCCCCACACATAAAGGACACAGCTGATCCAGACACATCCTTCCCAAAATCCAATTTGTTTGGGCTGTTTTTAAAGTCACACAGGAGAGCAAAGCCYGCTTTGCCCCAGGTCCTTCACAGAGAGGGAGAGCAGTGGTGGAGACACAAGAGACACTGCAAAGAGGCTTTTTTAGCATAGGGGGAGTCCTTGATTCAGGGGGTTTGATGGGGCAATTGGGATGTGCTGACCACAGCTGCCAGGGCTGAGGGAGCAGATGGAGCTGGCAAGGACCCTGCCCACACGTGCTCAAAYTGAAGCCTCYGTGCCTCAGTTTCCCCACTATACAAGATCCTGGTGGACATTAGGCTTTGTAAGATGCTCCAAGACCCACCAGTAAAGGAATATTCAGGAAGCTGCTTCTGCTCCAGCAGAGCTGTGCTCTTCCCATGGATCCCAACCGGATCCCTCCCTGCAGCTGAGGGCAGGTCCAGGTGAGCCTCGTGTGCCCAGGGAACAGGGGCCTGGGGGGAAGAGGAGCGGGGCCAAGCGTCGGTGCAGAGACCCAACCCATCCCCCAGGGAGGAGCAGTTTGTCTTTCCAGTGCCAAAGGCAGGGTGCATCATCCCACACGCTCCAGGGATACTTTTCCCCGTGCCTGCTCTGCCAGCACCTCCCCCAGGCTGGGGAGAGGCACAGGAAAAAACASCAGAATCCCCCAAACCTGAGAGCTCCAGCTCCCCAGGCAGCACCACCCTACAGTGACAACTCTGAAACTGCCTGGCTCTTCTTTAACGGCCACAAACGGAAGGAGGACAGAGTCAGATGAGATACTGGGGAGAAATTCCCTGTGAGGGTGGGCAGGCCCTGGCACAGGGTGCCCAGAGAAGCTGTGGCTGCCCCTGGATCCCTGGCAGTGCCCAAGGCCAGGCTGGACATTGGGGCTGGGAGCAGCCTGGGACAGTGGGAGGTGTCCCTGCCATGGCAGGGGTGGCACTGGAGGGGCTTTAAGGTCCTTTCCCACCCAWCCCATCCCATCCCAGGATGATTCGCTCCTGCTGTAGCCCAGCCCGGGAGGTAGGGAGTGACTGCAGCACCAATGCCATCTCCATGCTGACCTGATTTCCCACGGCTTCCGTGTGCATTCAGCCCAGACACAAAGTGCTTCCTGCAGCCGCTGCCAAAGGACCCTCTTATCTCCACWGCCGAGGAGCTGCTTTGACCTCAGCACAGACATGGCCCAGCCCAGGGCGTTCACGACCCAAGCCTTTGTCTCTGAATACATCTGGTGCCGAAGGCTCTTTTTTTCCCCATTTGTTCTTTGTGAACCAGCTCRTCGCTACCTCCAAGTTTCCCTCCCCTCCAGACAAAACCTCGTTTTACTTTCAAGTCCCCAGCCCGGCCCGAGTTCACAGTGGGGAGAGGAAATCCACGCCGAAATCCACGTCACCGCGGCAGGAAATCATTCCTCGGACATTGTAAATAAAGCACACAAAGAGAGGCAGCGGGCTGTAACCCCAGCAGCGCCCCTCGCTTTGCCCCGGGGCACCTCCCCAGCCGCCGCTCCCCCAGGCAGCAATTCAGCCTGGAAAAGAGGGAAACAAAACAGAAACCTCTTTCCTACAGCACGAAGGATTCGCGGAGCTGCGGGAGGCTCCTCAAAAACCTCGGGAAAACATTAATGTGGGGCGCTGTGAGCAAGTAGAGGGAACCCAGTGCTGCTGCAGRCAGGACGCTCAGCTCATCCATGGTGGAATCACAGATGGTTTGGGTCGGAAGGACCTTTAAAGGCTATTTAATCCCATCCCATCCCAGCCGTGCTGCTCCCGGCCCCTCTCCCGAGACCCCACTGAAACGCCAGATTAAAGAAGGGAATTTCTCTCCCTTTGCAGTGCGAATTTCATTTCCCCGCACAGCCTGTGGCTCCCAGCAGCAGCCCCAGTGTTTAGGGAAGCAGTGACCATATCCCCCTGCTCCCTGTCGGACACAGCCCCAGCTCCAGCTTCGCACCACAGAAGTGCAGAGCCAGCTCTAGCCAGGCTCACAGCCCTCTTGCACGGCTCAAACGCACTTTTTCCCTTTATTGCCCCCGCGTTCTTCCCAAGCTGGAGACCAGGAAAAAACAATTCCACTTTTAAATAAAATTCCTCATTTTGTGTCCAGTTCAAACCCCTGCATTATTCCACAGAACCATGGAATCAGCTCACTGGGAGGCCAAAGGTGGCTCCCCCCACTCTCATCCCGCCCTTCCAGCTTCCCACAGCCCCTGACAGGTCCCCAAAATCAAAGGCCATAAATAGGATACTGCAACCCGCCAGGTCCTCCCGGGTAACACGGGGAAGATCATCCAGGGGATGATGTCTCCAGCTCTGTCCTGCATCCCCATCTCTGCTGAAGGGAATCACACGGCTCCTCCTCCTTAAGTAAAGCAATGGATGAGCAAGAACTAGACAGGGTAAAGCCTTTCTCAGGAGCTGGAAGTGCCCTGGGGAAGGGGAACCTCTTCCACACAGCCCTGTGGAGTTGGGACACTGCAGAAAGTGCTCCCAGTAAAAACCCAGAGTTCACTCCCTCCCCTGCACAGAGGTTTCGATGAATCACAGAATGRTTTGGTTTGGAAGTWCTTTAAAGTCCATCCCATCCCACCCCATGCCATGGCAGGGACACCTTCCATCGTCCCAGGATGCTCCAAGCTCCAGGGTCCAATCTGGCCTTGGACACTGCCAGGGATCCAGGGGCAGCCACAGCTTCTCTGGGCACCCTGTTCCAGAGCCTCCCCACCCTCATAGCCAAGAATTTCTCCCCAATATCCCATCTGTCCCTGCCCACTGGCAGTGTGGAGCCAAAAGGTGCTGAACTTGCAGGAATTAAAGAAATTCAATGAAAGCAGAAGGGAACAGCCAGGAGCTTCTCCTGAGCACAGCTCAACAGGTGAGGGAAGCACCAACCCTAGGRTGGAGTGACCCATCCGTCCCTGCAGCAGTCCCACATGTCCCTCGTATCCTGCACCACGATGAACCAACTCAGCAACAGGAATCAGGTCATTTTGCTACAGGTTTCACTGCACAGAAACTATGGCTTAGAAACAGGCCTGGAGCTGGACTGAGGATTTTCCAGGCACAGACCCCATTTTTGTGGGATAAGCGGGTGAGGAGGCTGCTGCAGACAGAGCAGCTCCAAAGCCCTGCTCCAAAGTCCATTCCCACCTCACCCATGTGTTCTAGACCTCCAGCTGKCAAAGCAGGTCAATGAGCACATTCAAAAGATGCGGGAGGGAGGGATCTGCCCAGCAAGAGGCCTGGAAAGGCCCTGGACCATTGCAATGTTCCTCTTCTACTCCCCCATTTTCACATTTCGTTTGGCATTGTGAGGACTCAGAATCCCACCTGCACCCAAACAGAGCCTCCCTAAAGCCCAGCCCTGCTTGTGTTTCTCCTCCCTTCCTCACTCTCACCCTCCCAGACTGGACTTTCTCCGGACAGCACCCCAGGACACTTCTCCCACTGAAAAACAATCCATTGGCTAGACCCAGCACCAGCTGCCGCAGAGCCAGGAGCTGCTGGGCAGATGTTTCCTGCCCTGAGCTCCCATTCCCAAGCAGCAGAGCAGCTGCAATTCCCTCTGACAGCTGCTCCCTGCCCTCCTGCTTCCCCAGGAGCAGCTGGGATTAGCCACAAGCCAGCTGGGGCGTTCCATCTGGGATAACCCTGCACATCAATTTCCCTTTTGGCACCTTACCTTCGCACTGGGCTGCTGCAGCCTTCCCACAAGGAGAGGAATCACTCATGGATCATGGATCTAACTGAAGCAGGATCAAATTTCTCAAGCTGGGACCTTCCTGAGTATGGTAAGTTGAGGAGAAAACAGAAAAGCTTTGTGTTTCTGGTATCCTAGGTGTGCCACGGGGAAGAGAAGCCAGCATGTACAAAACAGGTATTCCCAGGAAGGAGCTCCAAGGGGACTGGGAGAAGGCAGCTTCTTCCCTGGACTCAGCCCCAGATCCCCAGAGCATCCATCTGCCCTCCAAACAAAACAAAAAAAAAGGCATTTAAAGGCAATGCTGCTGCTGCTGGCCAGGGCTGAGGCAGCACACAAAGAATTCCAACGATCTGCTGCACAAAACCATCACAGACCAGTCCAGGCTTTTATTTTCCAAGCACAAGAAACTGGATTCATCGATGACATCTCGGGCTGAAGCAGCTTTGAGCTGTACAAGGATTGAGACATCAGGTGGAAGCAGCAGAGCAGGGACTGGCTCCTGGATGGCTTTGGAAGATCAAGAATCTGGCTTTTGCTCCTTGGAAAGACAAGGAATTTGTATCGGAGAGATTCTGAGTTGGACCCAGCCAAGTCCAGGCGTAAGTCCCCACTCCCTAYGAACAGGTTTACCAAGGACCATAAACAGCTGAAGCCAGGATGAACAGCATCAGCCTCCCACAGCATCCAGAAGCCTCCCAGACTCCAGTAAAGGGGCAGAGTTTTATTAACAGGAGCATCATTTGGTCAGTGCTGGGACAGGGACTGAGTTGGGCTGCGTGGGAAGGGTTTCTTGCATAGTTGTTGGCCAAAGGAAACCTGGAGCAGTGCCATGCTGGGAATCCTCCGGCTGGGATCAGGGGGAGCTGGGAACACCATCGTGTCAATGTCCCAGGCACAGGCTCTCCAGGGGGACAGCAAGAGGAGGAGGCCACCTGTGCTGGGTCAAACACCATTTCAGGGTTTTGGGGATGGGCAGGAAGGTACAATTCTGGGATTTTAAGTGTCATGCTCAAGGGAAATCAAGGAGAAGAAATCCTTGGGCATGAATCTAAGAAAGGGAGCAGGATGGGAAGACACCTGTGAACTCTTGCTGCCTCCTCCTTGGGGTTCTTCTGACAATGCAGCAGCAGAGTAATTAATACATTAACTAATTAATCAAAACCAGCATCTTCCCAGTCAGAAACTGGGCCAAATTTTAAAGAGATCTGAGCTGTGGGGGTTGGTTTGGGTTTTGGGCTTTTTTCCTTCTTTCAGCCGGGCAGCCTCAGCCAGCCAAATGTTATTTTTCTCTCCCCTATTTTGGCTTCACAAGGTTGTGATTTTTCCCAAGGGGCCAACTGGGAATTGACCATCCTGAGCTCAGCTCACCCTCTGCCACCACCTGAACGCTGTGTGCAAAACCATCCTGCTCCTTCCACACCTCTGAAGAGCACAAACACCTTGGCTTTTCCTCCCCAGGTTCATAACAGCAGTTCCAACAAAAGAACAGGAGGAAATACAATTCTCTAACATTTTGCTTTTACTCCTTCATGGAATCTTTCCAATGCAACTTCACAAAAGCAAYGTAAATAAAGTCTTTTTTCTCTTCTAAAAAGAAGATCATGTTCCACAGATTCCGTAGTGCAATTGGTTATCTGGTAGAAAAAAAACAATACCTTCTTCAGCTCCATGGAGGAAAACACTGGAAACATTTCCATGGTCTCAATAAAAATAGGAAAGTCTATCCAGGATGGGTTAGAAAATTCCAGGTGTGTGGGACACATAGTCCCTACAGTCTGCCTCTAGTTGAAGAGGATGGAATTGGGGTCCTGGTTGGCCATCTGTGCAATGTGCTTTAGTACATCCTTTTTGGTAATGATCCCCAGCAGCTTCCTGAAAAATGAAAMACATTTTTAATGTACTCACACTCCCAAAAGGGACCCTGGCAGGGGCAATGGAGCCCCTTGTAGGGGCTGAAGTCTTATGGGATTCAAAGCAACACCCCACAGAAAGTATTACATTCTCTGAGGGTGGTAAAAACACTGGCACAGGGTGTCCAGAGAAGCTGTGGCTGCCCCTGGATCCCTGGCAGTGTCCAAGGCCAGGCTGGACATTGGGGCTGGGAGCAGCCTGGGACAGTGGGAGGTGTCCCTGCCAAGGCAGGGGGTGGGGATTGGATGAGCTTTAAGATCCTCCCAACCCAAACCAGTCTGGGATTCTGTGAAGTCTGACACTCACAGGCCCCACAGCTGACACTCCATCAGTACTTTACACTAAAAAGGTAAAGAGATTGGAACCAAAAGACAATTATTTATCACAAAATCACAGGATTAAGATTGGAAAATCCCTCCAGGATCACCAAGTCCAACCATTGCCCAATCCCTACTTTGTCTCCAGTCCAGAACACTCAGTGCCACATCCAGGAATTCCTTGGACATCTCCAGGAATGTGGACTCCAAACTTCCCTGGGCAGCCCCTTTCCAATGACTGACCATCCTTTTCATGAGTAAATTCCTCCTGGTGTCCACCCTGAACCTCCCCTGGCACAGCTTGAGGCCATTTGCTCTTATCCTGTCCCCTTGCTATCTGGCAGAATCCAATCCCCATCTGCCTACAAGGATTTAAAGAAATAAATAATCCTTAATCCCCACCCTCTCTGCAAGGACCTCTCTCAGTAGCTGTTGCTGCTCCGTAAGCTGCTCCACTCGCAGCTGGGCTTTAAACAGCTGCCCAAAGGCATGAGAGAGCTGGGAATGACATCTGCATGGAGCACATGGAGCAGCTTGGGGGGCTGAYGGGGCTGCTCCAAAGGCAAGGACAGAATTCCTGCTGGAGCCACGCTCCAGTAAAAGCTTTCCCAGTTTCTATCTTTGCCCTCATCTCTCCCCAGCTCAAACTTCTCTGCCTGGCACCAAACAAATTCCATCACTTTCAAGACACACGTGGCCACATTTGGGAGGGGGACTGATCTGTAGGATCCATCCCCACATCGAGCCTTCCCCTTCCAGCCCTTGTCTTTCTCTTCAGCTGGAGCTGGGCTGTCACAACTGCCTTTCTCCAGGCAGCATCCAGCCCCAGAATGGATGCCCAGAGCTGTCCCCTTGGCCCTAGAAGCAGAGGAGCTTCTGACCCCAGACCCGAGGGCTCTCACCCATTGTGAGTGACCAGGCACTGGCGCAGTCCCAGCTTGCGGAATATGTCCACAACAATCTCCATGGGCGTTTCGTCCGTCACTGTGAAGGGACTGAGGTCCAGGATGCTCCTGAGTTTCAGCACAGACGGCGAGCTCGGAGGCAGCGGGGGACAGTAGTCAGTGAAACAAATAACTGAGGTGCTCACGATCCCGTCCTGCTTCTTCCGGGCATTTTCTGGAAGGAGAAGTATTTGATTAAATACCAGCACTCCTCTTTCCCTTGCCAAATGGAAGAATATTTCCTTTCCTCTGCCCATATTTAACATCTTTAAAAGTCCTTTCCTTCCCTTCAYCAGAGCTGTTCCCACCCAGCGAGGGTGTGATGGGTTTCCAGTCTTTCTTCTATGGAAATCATGGAATCATTAAGATTGGGGAAGACCTCCAAGACCATCAAGTYCMACCACKGACCAGCACCACCACCATGGTCAYGACTAACCCACACTCTCAGGTGACACATCCACTTTTCCACTTGTTTCCTGAACACTTCCAGGGATGGGGACTCCACCACTGCCCTGGRCAGCTGTGCCAGAGCTGGACAACCCTTTCCATGAAAAAATTTTCACCAATATCCAACCTAAACCTCMCCTAGCACAACTTCAGGTTATTTCCTCTCRTCCTGTCACTCRTTATCTGGGAGAACCTCCATGATCTCCAAAATTCCACTGCAGGGGTGGGATCAGTACCTGCCTTGCCCAAAGCCAAGGCAGTTGGCACTTCATTGTGCTCTAGCCAGGTAAATACAAGTTCTGGAGAACTTWTAACTCCCCAGTTTTCAGAGCAGGTAAATAAAATGCTTTGTACTTTCATGAGTCACTGATTTGGGTCCCATGCAGAGCAGTTAAAGGACTATTTTTAAGCACTTAACAACTGGCACAGGCTCCATGGACGTCAGTARGGTCAGGAATGGAAAACAAGTATTGGCCATTGCTCAGACCTTCACAGCAGTGCACACACAGGTACTGTAGGTACCTGCCACACTGCCATCTGATATCAGCATTCTGAGACTTCCTGGGGAGGGGTACGTCTGGCAGCCCAAACACCACGCTGGGTATTCAGAATAACAAAATATTTGGGATATTTGACCATGAAAACCCAAATCCCATCCCATTCCTCAYTTGCACAGCTTGGGGACAGGATCACTCTTCAGGAATCCCTGGAAAGCTGTTCTCACATCATTGAAGGWAATTCAGAGCATACAGGACAGTGTTTGCCATGTCCTGCAGCTCCACACCCCAGCCAGCCTCCAAGGCAGGAGCACAAGGGACAGAGCAGGGGGCTGCCAGCAGGGACAAGAGGTGGGTGACCTTAACCTCAGTATGGCTGTCTATAGGTTTGCCACCCCATAGAATCCCCACAAAATGGGTCAGGCTGGAAGGGACCACAGTGGGTGATCTGGTCCCACCTCCCTGCACAGGATGGTGTCCAGGCARTTCTGGACCCTCTCCAGTGAGGGAGAATCCAGCCCCTCTCTGGACAATCTGGGCAGGGCTGGGCACTGCCCAGGGTGGGGTAGAAGTCCTGCCTCCTGTGCAGGGGGAGCTCACTGGGCTCGGTCCCTGTCCCTCAGGTACCATCGCTGGGTCCAGCCCCAGAGCAGAGCCCGGCCCTGCTCGGAGCCCTCCCTGCACACAGGGACAGCCAGGGACAGCCAGGGACACCCAGGGCCGAGGGCCCCTCTGGGCTGGGGCTCCTCTGGAGGCTGAGCAGCTCCCCAGACTGGCCCTGCTCCAGTGGTTGCATGTCCCTCCTGTCCTGAGGGGCCCAGAGATGGGCACAGCACTCCAGGTGTGCTTCCCAGGGCTGAGCACAGGGGTGGCATCACCTCCCTTGATCCACCCCAGCAGGAACCCAACATTCAGTCCTGGGACAAACCAGGTATTTTCCCTCAATGAAACACAGTAAGATTTGAGACATGAACAGTTCAGAACACTCTCCACATCCGGGCCCCACAAAGCTCCTGCAGGAAAGGAGCCTCATGTGCCTTCAGCTTCCCAAATTCAGCAGTGCCACACGAACAGCATTGGACAACCAGCTGCTCAGGGGGAAAGGCTGACTGACCCCCATATTGCTACACCCTCTTGTCATGTAGCTGTGGAATTCTGAGTGACAGGACAAGAGGACACAGCCTCCAGCTGTGCCAGGGGAGGTTCAGGTTGGACATCAGGAGGAATTTCTTCACAGGAAAGCTTGCTAACATTGGAAGGGGCYGCCCAGGGAGGTCTGGAGTTCCCATCCCTGGAGGTGTCCAAGGCAGGCCTGGATGTGGCACTGAGTGCTCTGGGCTGGGTGACAAGGTGGGGATCARTGACAGGTTGGACTTGATGGTCTCAGAGGTYTCTTCCAACCTAAATGATCCCGTGATCCTGTGACAAGCCATGCTGTCCCCCACATCCAGTGCATGCAGAGCCCATGCTGCTCAGAGATGCAGCAGCTGGCCCAGCCACCAGCCCCAGGGCTGGGTGAGCATCTCAGGTCAGTGACATTCACCGGGGCAGTCACCTCTTACCGATTGAAATGATGAGGTCTCTCCTGAGGACAAACCCAACCAGGCGCTGGGACGCCCGGGAGACCACCACGGGGTAGCCACTGTAGGTGGTTTTGGTGATGATGGTCTCCACGTCCTCCACGGTCATGCTGTCCTGCGTAATGACTGTCAGGGGAGGGTCATTCTTGCGCGGTCGCATCACATCCATGGCCCGTGTCTTGTGCGAGAACTCCTCCTTGGCTTCCAGGAACGGGTASCCGTTCAGGCGGATGTGGGCGTCGTAAATGCCCTCCCGGCCGATGGCATCGGCCACCCACTTGCTGGTCATGGCCGCTGCCATCAGGGGCACGATGTACTCCAGCCCCCCGGTGAGCTCGAACATGATGACCACCAGCGACACAGTCATGCGSGTCACCCCCCCTGCAAGCACAGCACATGTGGCTCACACAGGGGACTGGGGATTTGTGTCACACCAGGCCCCTGCCTTGAGAGGAGGGCTGCTRCTACTGGGCTCCAGGGCCACCTTCAGCAGTGCCAAACATGACCAGAACAGCACTGAAACCTCTGTCCCTGCCAGAGCACTGGGCCTTGGGAAGGAGCTTCAAAGTCTCGCCTGSTTTTGTCCTGGCATGTTTTAATTAAGCTTTTGAGATTCAAGTCCCAAAGCTACTCCCAAACATTTCACAGGAGTTTTGCTCCAACACCCATTCCCTAAAGGGGCACAGACCGTTCAGTACTGCCCAGCAACAAACAGAACCATTAAAGAAGTCAAAGTGTATTTATCTSCCATCAGTTACATGCAAATAGTCCCAAAAGGGATTTGAAGGAACCTTCGATCCATCTCATTCCAACCTCTGCCACAGGCAAAAGACACCTTCCACTGGACTTGGTTATTCAAACAAGGTGTATCCCCTCTATAAAGGACGAAGATGGGGTTTGGTGGCATGTTTTTAGAGGAGAGTTTCACCTGATAAAGTAGTCCCTTAGGAGTTAAACATATTATTCCATAGAGGAGGAGACCGGGAATTGGAAAGTGACGTTCAGTCACATGCATCCAGTCTCTCAAACTCAGCCAAGAGGAAGAAGTGTTACCAAAAAACAGAGCACTTAAAAGCAGAATTGCATCACAAGACTTAAGGTCAGAACAGGAAGTAAAATTATTAAAACCCCACAGGAAAATTAAAGTCCCTGGGCAGCTTCAACTGTTCTGGCACTGTTCTCCCAATCAGGGTCTTCCCTGCAGCCTGCTGTGCCCAGCACCAGGTTGGGGCTGGCAAAAGAACATAATCAGGATGAGGAGCACATGGCATGTTCTATTACAGCATTTTCTGGGGTTCTGGAGGTGACAYAACCAGGCCACAAGAGCTGGCCACAACCCCAGCTCTTCAATCAAAGAATCACTATGGGGTGGAACAAGACCATCACACCATTCTGTGATTCAATGATTAAGGCTGGGAAACACCTCTAAGATCACCGAGTCCACCACTCCCCCACCCTCCCCCTCTCCACACAGCCAGTCGAGCCCCAAGCCCAGCSTGGCCTGAGGAGCCCCAGCTTACCCAGACAGGCAGCAGCGCCCACCATGGCATAGAGGCCTGGCGTGATGCAATCGGCCCCCTGGCTGCACCAACCAGAGAAGATGGCCCAGTCGTGGTGGTAGAAGGCCAACTGCTCCACGGCCACACCGAGCAGCCGGCCCGCGATGGCCCCGACGGCCATGCTGGGGATGAAGAGCCCCGAGGGCACCTGTAGGAACACGGGGCAGTGAGCACCAGAACCCCAGGGCTGCACTGASGAGTGGTCAAGCCTCACATGAGAGGGAGTCAGAGGCTTTGCTGGAGATGAGCTGGAAGGGACATTGATCATCTGGTCCAACCCCCCTGCAGTGAGCAGGGACATAAAAACTGTAGAGGATCATGGAATCMCAGAATGGTTTGTGTTGGAAGGGACCCTCCAGCTCATCCAGTTCCACGCCCTGCATGGGCAGGGACACTTTCCACTGGGCCAGGCTGCTCCAAGCCCTGTCCAACATGGCCAGGATGCCTTGCTCTGTCCCTCTGCCCTTCCTGCACCCTCGTGCTCTGAGGTCTCTGCAAGAGTCTGAATTGCCTCCATTCTGAGCAGAGGCTGGTGYGGAACAGAACAAGCTCCTCTCAGAAGGGAACATAACCAAGCTCACACTGCTCACACTCTCCCACACCTTTCCAACCACCCCAGCACATGTTCATTTGTAGGCATGGGATTTCCCCACTCTGCTGCCTTCAAACACTGGCAGTGGAGTCATCCTTCCCTGGGAGAAATTCAAACTCCACCATGACASAGAATCAGCACACATAGCAAAGGGACACCCAGCAAAGCCACTGTCAGCATATTCCAAAAGCTCCCGTTGTTTGAAGGCAGGGAATCCCCCTTCCCCTTCTCCTTCTCCTTGGCCATGCAGCTTTGTCACATGTGGTGTCTCTCTCTCACAGATCCCATGGCTGCGTTGGACGGTCAGTGACATCTCAGGGCAATAGTGATGTCAAATCTCTGCAGTGTGGTCACGATTTTGGACAGAGCACTCAAGGACTGGGGGCAGGGGAAGATGCTCAGCTCCATCCACTGCAGGAAAGCTCACACCTGGGAACTACATCTGCAGCTCCAGAGGCTGCACCAAATGACTTCCAAATCATCTGAGCAAGGAACAGCTCCAATCAAGCATTTACAAATTAAGACAYTGATTGCTTTGCAATTAGCATTTGCATCCAAATCACATATTTATCGAAAAGGATTGAGGCAGGACAATTTAGGAGCATTCTGTGTCTGGAAAATGGATTGTGGAGCCCTGAGGCACCAGTTTTGTGATTGCATTTSGTGCCCATACTCAGGCTGGAAGATTTCTACTGCCCTCAGGTACGAGCAGCAGGACAAACAACTGAGGTCAGTCCCCTTTTGACAGAGCTTGGGGGGACATGTCTGGTTAGGGAGGAAATAAAACCCTAAGGGTCCTGCAGAGTGTGGGAAGAACATGAGCTCATTTACAATCCTCACCTTCATGCCAAAGGTGAAGATGGTGATGAAGACCTTCATGATGAGGGCCAAWGCCAGCTGCCACATGGCCGTGTAGACTCCGGGGCCAGCGGCGCGGTCGGGCAGGTCATCCCCCTTGGTGCTGTTGAAATCATTCACGTACTCGCAGAGCTTGGACGAGTCCAAAATGCCGCAGTCGTTGAAGAGCTCCGAGATGAGCTCGCTGGTGCTCATCCTGGTGTACTCGTTGGGGAAGGCCAGGACGGCTGTGATGGCTGTCACCACGATCACCTCCAGCACCGGGTACTTGCCCAGCCGCGTTGTCTTGCGCCGCCTGCACCAGGCAATGTTGCTGCGGATGAAGAAAGCTCCCCAGAGTCCCCCGAATATTCCCAGCAGGATGAAGGGCACCAGCTCCAGCAGATGCCAAGGCATGTGAAACTCTACGTAGAAGAGCACGAGGCGGCTGTTGCCGAAGGGGTTGATGGAGCGCAGGGTGAAGGCAGCGACCAGCGCGGCGAAGAAGGAGCGCCAGAGGGTCTTCAGAGGGAAGTAGTAACTCACCTAAAGGGGAGAACAAAGCACATTGGGCCACTTGAACAATGAGCACAGCCCCACTGTGGGGGGTAAAGCCAGAACAGAGATCCATGGGCACTGGCTCATTTCCGGCTCTCCAGGCTCTGTTTGGAGCTCCAGTTCAATGAGCATTGCAGTGAGTGGGACGGGCCCTGGCCTGCACACTTCCACTGCAGCACATGCCCTCTGTGATCCCTGAAGCAACTCACTCAGGTAATAAAAGCTATTACATATCAGCCATGAGGTGAATTCTGACAATATGTGGGCTCTGCAAGGTCCAAAGTGTCAAACAGCAGCACCTGCCATCACTGCCACCAACCATTGCTCAGCTGAGCAAATCCATCCCAGCCCTCCTGTAAAATCCATCCTGGTCCTCCCCTGAGCTAAGCAGCAATGATCCTTTCGTATCTGGATCACGAGATTAGGGATTAGGTGGTCCTTGGGAAGAAAAGGGGGTTGATAAACCAGAGAAGTTTGTTCTCAGGTACCCTGGGACATAAGTATCAGGAGAGAGCACAAGGGAAAATGGCCTCAAGCTGTGCCAGGGGACRTTCAGRGTGGACATCAGGAGGAATTTCTTCACTGAAAGGGTGGTTAGGCATTGGAARGGGCTGCCCAGGGAGGTGGTGGAGTGCCCATCCCTGGTGGCATCTAAGGAACGCCTGGACGTGGCACTGAGTGCTCTGGGCAGGGTGGGGATTGGKCACAGGTTGGGCTCAATGAACCTGGAGGGATTTTCCGACTTCAGTGAGCCTGGAAATCCATATGAAAACCAGAGCTGTGGCTGTGAGAAGTCAGCAGAACTGGGCACGAACAGAGCAGAGGAATCCAACAGTCTTATGGCACAGCCACAGACAGACTTCCTCCAAAATAAATCCTCCAGTATTCCCAAGAATTATCAGAACCTTCAATTAGCCTTTAGACTGGCCTGGTACACAGAGTATTCCAGAGCTCTCCTTGACACCCCAGAGGCAGGGGAGGGCTGTGTTTTTAACCCACAGAGTCAGTTCTGCACTAAAGCAGCATTCCAAGGTTACCTCCTCCAGGCTGAAGAGGACTCCTCCAATGGGAGCTCCGAAAGCCACGGACACACCGGCAGCAGCAGCTGCTGACAGCACCTGAGGGACAGACAGAGGCACTCAGACTTCTCATCCCTCCCAAACATCCCCCTTTTTATGGTTTATCTTCACTTAAATTTGTACWATGTTTATCTCCCTCACAGTCAGCCACATCTGACCAGCTTTAAGACAGCAAAGAAAAGGTGGAATTGGGAGAGCTCCAAATTAGCATTAGCATGTCAACAGCCCCAGCACCAAACCAGCACAAGTGGCATCGCTGGCCACTTTCTCTTCTGTTTCAGAAGATTTGACCTCGGGCAAAGTTTCAGCACAACCCAATGCTGGCAGTAATTGCACCTCCCAGAAAAGCCCATGTTTTCCTATCTCACACTGCCCCYTGTCCCAGCACTGCCAGCTGGGCAAATCCTGCCAGCCCACCCAGAAAATCCTGTCAGGTTTGGTTCAGCAGAAGGTAAACAGGCCAATACTGGCACACTGAGAACATGCTGAAACAGACCCATTTACCCCAGAACAGACCCACTTACCCCAAAACAGACCCATTTACCTCAGCTCCAGAACCACGGCCCCACACAACCTCCCCAGGCTGTTGTCCCCACGCACCTCCCTGCGCTTGGCCTCATTCTTGCGGTACTTGGTGAAGAGGTGGCACAGGATGTTCCCACAGCAGCAGGCGACGTGGACCAGGGGCCCCTCCTTGCCCAGGCTCAGCCCCGAGGACACGGCCAGCACGAGGGTGATGGTTTTGATGACCAGCGTCCACTTGCCCAGGTAGCCTCTAATGATGAAACCACTTAAGATAGTTTTGATCTGGAAGTCAAGCACACAAAGCTCTACAGGCTTTCATTCAAGCCATGGTCAGAGCTCCTGATTTACTGGATGTTCCAAATCCTGCCCTTCCCTACAGCTTTCAGAATCCCTCTGAACTATCAAAAACGAGAGAGTCCATAAAAATATCTCTCCATGCAAAGGCAGAACCAACCATCTGAGTCCTTCCTACGGGGCCACCATCCCTGCTGGAGAAACAGCTAGGCAGCACCTCCTGCAGTAATGCCAAAACATCTAATTTTTAAAGGGACTGCATGGAGACCTTAGTATTAGATATGTTTCAGGAACAGCTTGGAAAAACACCCATGTATTAAGTGATCATCTGAAGTGGAAGAAATTATTCCATAGCATGTATGTGTAAATCTTGGATGGTGGATCCCTATCTCACCTGAAAAACCACCCATTCTTGTTCCCGCTCACCTCTGGGATCCCTGAGCCACAGGCATAGGGAGCAAAGCCCTTCACAAGGAGCACAGCAAGGAGGGAGAACATCAAGGCCCAGATAACGTACATGAAGTAGTTGAGGATATATGCAAACGCCCCCTGAAACACAGAGAAAATTGCCACAATCAGATGGTTTCAACTGAGCCCACATCAAACCTGGGCACTGAAGTGAGCACATGGAATCAGCAAATCATCCCACAGAGTTATCAGCCAGAGATGGTGAGACCTCCCCCAAGTCTGAGGGTTCAGGGATAAGTTACATTTGCTGGGTTACCAATCCCATCGGCAAAATCCATTAAATAAACAGCAGCCAAGGTACAGGACTAGAGTTATGGAATCATTTAGGTTGGAAAAGAGCKGTAAGATCATCCAGTTCAACCACAGATGGGTACTGGCTCAGTGTTGACCTGGTCAGGCAGCTGCTCCACTGGAGAGAGCTGTCCCAAACACAGCACTGGAGCTCATGGCATTCCCCCAAAATGTTCATGGGCAAAATAYCCTGCAAGCAGCACATCCTGGACACACCAGTGACACACTGCACCTGTAAATGGGGCAGTGTTTGCTTCCCCACACCCCCTCCAAGGACAACACCCAAATAATTTGTTTATTGACACCTCTTTAAAACCCCAATGATGAACACTAAACCACCCAGAACTTGGACTCCTGGCACCTGCATCCAGGTCATTCCAGGGATGATAKGGGCTGGGTAAACAGAGGATTTGGCAGCAAAAGCAGCTGCAGGCACACATCACCTCTCCATGGCCGAGGATCAGCTGGGACCAGCTCTTCCACTCAGGACACTTGTCCCTGTCGGTGAAGGTGGTGTTGGACTTCCAGCAGCAGTGCTCGTGGTTGAACCAGAACCCTGCCAAACACACCCCTTCCTTCAGATCTGTCATCCAGTGGGCAGAGATGTCAATCAGACCTGCCAAGGATCCTGGTTTAAAGGAAAAAACCCMAATAATTCAATGAGCACCTCGTGCAGACTCAAACACCTGAAGGTCACAGTCTGCACCACCAATTTCTGACTCACCTACCACCACACAGAGCAGTGCTGATATTTCTGCCTACAACTCACTTGGATTCTATGGAGAGCTAAAYGAGAGGATTTGCCTAATTCTGGATAATTTCAATCTATTGAAAAGAGTAGGTCAGGAAACAGAGCATGGCTGATAATATTTCAAACGCTGACTGTGTTCAAACCCCCCTTGCATCACCAGTAATTAAATCTYCTCAATAACTGTTAAATACAGCACAGCAGCAGTTGGAGGGCAGAGAGGGATGTCCCACATTTCTAGGGGACTCAGACAAAATGTGTCACCAGGATCCAGGAGCTGCACCAACAACACTGACACTGTGACAGGAATAACTCTGAATTTGGAGAAAACATTTCCAACCCCAATTTAAAAAAAGAAAAATAAAGGAGAGGAAAGTTACAACTGTGCCAAGTAAAACAAGGCAAGGAGAGCCAGCACAGAAGGGAATTCAGGTTTTAAGAGGAATCTTCAAGTCATTTTTGTTAATAACTCATCCAATCCCAAAACCCCCACACCAAGGCAGAAACCAGGGATCTCTGATCCATAGGAGCAAGCAGCAGCACAAGCTCCAGAGGCTGCAATAAACATTCAGCAAACCCACCAGTTAATGACCAACTGGCCAGCAGCCTTCCTGGGTAAACATTAACAGAAGATTTCACTCCATACCTCGTGACAGATGCTTGCTGCTTCCTATCAGGGAGATTTTGTATCCAAGTGATTTACTGCTGCTGCCCTGGGGCCAAAGTTTGTTTCTAAGCAATTTAAAAGGCCTCAGACAGCTGAATTCTGAAARACCTCTGATTCCAAGAAACACCTCTCAATTTTTGTATCTCAGTGTAGAAGATAAAACCCAAAAAAATAAGAAACTCTTGCTGGCAGCCCCTGGCATTAACCCCTTCAGTGCCCATGAGGAGCRTTCGGCACAGGCATTCTCAGCATTTTGATCAGCTCTGCTTTAATGAACGTTTTTTATTTATTTCAGAGCTCTGTATCAGCAGCAGACCCAGAGCAGTACCTAGGACACCTCTCAGCCTCTGTTTTGTATTTTGGTTTTGCACAAACACAGCCTCAAAGCACTTAAAGATAATTTCACATGGATTACAAGGCAGCAGCAGAGCCCTCGATGTCAGCACAAGTCCTCACCCCAAAATCCTGCTGCCCCAGGTTTGTGTAGGAATGGATCCCCATGCTGCAGTGCAGGAATTTTTACCTGGAGTAAAAATTACCAAAGTTTTACCTGGAGGTTTGCTCTCACCTGCCAGCAGCCCAATGAGGAGCATCAGCAACCAGCCAGAAAAGGCATCACTCACACTGTGCAGCAGKGCCCAGGTGGACTCCTTGCTTCTGTTGGTGATCTGGGAAAGGGTTTGCAAAAAAAAAACCCACAAATCCATGAGGACTCTGATCCACTGCTCTTTAAGAGCCTAAATGCTCTTAAACTATTTGCTGACACTGTCACTCTGCTTTGGTGGGGGAGATAAAAAGCACCTGGCTGGTGCAGTAAATGCAGCTCTGGTTGGGAGGTGGAAGAGAGTGCATCATGAATGGAATCCCAGAATAGGYTGGGTGGGAAGGGACCTTAAAGATCATCCAGTTCCAGCCTCTGTCATGGGCAGGGACACCTTCCACTATCCCAGGTTGCTCCAAGCCCTGTCCAACCTGTCCTAGAACACTTCCACTGATGAGGCAGTCCCAGCTTCTCTGGGCACCCTGTGCCAGAGTCCCAAGGATACAGACACGAGGGGCTCGCAGGTTTAATGCCAGAACAGAGGAATGGTCCAGCTGGGGAACGGGCACTGGTGGTACTGGGAACGGGGACTCAGCCCTGTCTCAGAGGCTCCCGGACGGCTGAGGCCTGTCAGTCTCACTGCTCCTGACAGGCAGACAAAGGGTGACAGAACAGCCATTGTGTGTCCAGCTGCCTCTCCCAAGGGAAACATTCCAGCTCTCCACCATTATCCCCAGATAAAAAGGCACATTGATGGGCACAGCTAACACCCACTAAMTGAGGAATACATGCAGTAAGAATCCTTTCTGCCTGGTTGACTGTTAGGTTTTTCTCTGTGTTTTTGTCTTCCAAATGCAACACTGATCCCAGATACTGAATCCCAGACAGCTTGGTCGGGGTGTCTAAACTGCTTCCTTTGAATTTCTTTTCACTGGAACAATCCTACACCTCTTTGGACAGTCCTAAATTCTGTCTTCACCTGATTTATTTTTCCTRTGGAGACAGGCTGGGGTGTCCAGCCTGGAGAAGAGAAGGATCCAGGGAGACCTTAAAGCCCCTTCCAGGGCCTAAACGGGCTCTGAGAGAGCTGGAGAGGGACTTTGGACAAGGCCCTGGAGTGACAGGACAAGGGGAATGGCTTCCCACTGCCARAGGGCAGGGATAGACAGGTCTTTGGGAAGGAATTGCTCCCTGTGAGGGTGGGGGGGCCCGGACACAGGGTGCCCAGAGAAGCTGTGGCTGCCCCATCCCTGTTCAAGGCCAGGWTGGACRGSGCTCAGAGCCAACTGGTCTAGTGTAAGGTAYTCCTGCCCRTGGCAGGGGGTGGAATGGGATGAGCTTTAAAGTTCCTCCCAATCCAAACCATTCCCTGTTTCTCTGACCTCTGCAGACAGGAAACAGCTCGKCCTGTCCTAGGCTGATGGCAYTATCTCTGTCCCCTCACCTATGCCTGGAGACACACCCATGACAAGGCTTTGGGGTCTGGACTGTAACCCCACAGATAGGAAGTTTTGGGGAAGTAGGCAGCAGGGACATGGAGCCCCTTGGCTGGGTCTGCAYTCCCCAGATTTGGGCATTATATTTATTTCTTGTATTTGTGCACACTGAGCAGGGTCTGTACTCTGTTCAGGCTCTGTTACAACACAAGTTGTTTTGTAAGGCTCAGGAAAAAAAATCAAAGAATATTTTGGCAAACAAATAGACAAGTTGAATTCAGTCATCACCCTCCAAGAGTGCCAGCAAGGTAGGAGCGGGCTGGGGACATGGGTATTTCAGCTAAAGCCCCCATTGCTTTCTGAGCAGATTCCTTTAATTGCAGAGTGGTGAAGTCCTGGGAAGGAATTAGGGAAGAATTRCACTCAGTCTTCTCAAACAAAAAAATGCCAATAGAAAGAGCACCATTCACCAGTGCAACTGTGAGAGCAGAAAACCACGCTGGTTTGGGCTCCAAATCCTCCGTTTTAAACAAATCAAAGCCTTCAGMAGAGAAGTAGCAACCAACAAACTGCAGCATGTTAGGTTTAGTGCTCCTTTTCCTCAACCTAAACTCTCAGCTCCCATCCTAAGGGCAATCCCTCCATCCCAGGTTTGTCCAGAAAGTGCCTCCCTACACCAGCAAGATTCACATGCTAATGATGCAGCACTCGAAGCCAACAAGAAGTAGGAATTTTTACCTCCCTGTGTCTGTCCCGGTCCCTGGACTTCTCTCGCACCCAGTCTATCGTGTTAAAATCTTCGTARGTGCCCACACCAGGAAGAGGCTCCTCCAGGAAATCCATCATGGTGCTTGTGCCGTTCATCCCTCCTCCATTATAGGAAGAAAAGCCTGGTGGGGGGAAAATGAGCATTTCTTAGTTTTTCCCTTTTTTATAGAAAAACAGAACTCATTTAGGAGGAAATCCACAGATTTCAGTGGAAACAAAAGAGCTACTGAGGTGTTCCCCAAGCTGAATACAACTGGCACACCTTSCCAGGTGATCTGTGCCAGGTACACCCTTCCCATTGCCAGCACATAYCCTGGAGATGGGGTTGCTACTGGAAACAACGGTTCACAGCAAAGCAAATCCCGACAAGCACCTAGATGTTGACTTTTCCCTAAATCCAGGACTTGCCATGAGAATATTTTGCCATTTGAGGCAAGCAGAGGGGAGAGGGAGAAGAGAAAAGGAATATTTAGGACTCCCCAGAGAGCTGAACGGTATCCCAGGTGGATATGGCAAGGATGAGAGCAGGATGAGCAGGAAGGCATGGATGGGAGCAGGGAAACAGGGAAAGCAAAGCACCCAGAGGGGCCTGGAAAGCAGAAAGTGGGACCAAATGGGGGCTTGGGAAAACACCAAACTGGGACTTGTAGCCTCCCTCAGGGGAAAACTTGGCCAAACCACTGGGCCTCCTGTTTAACCTTCTCCAGGCCATTGAAAACTATGCTTAGCATGGGTTTACATTCCCACAATCCTGRTTCTGGAAGATACTGAGTGTTTCCAGACATCCAGAGGGAAAACCAGAAGAGCAAAAACCAAAATCCAGTGAAAACTGAAAGGTGGGGGGAAGAGAGGGGTTAAAATTCCCAGGCAGAAGGATAATGGTTGATATTTCAGCATGTTTAGCTTGCAAATATCACAGGGGCAGAGGTGTCTCCAAATGGGAAAAATAAGGAATTCAAAGAGCTGCCCTCTGCCCCATCATCCAAAGCAGGAAGCAAAAAGAGCTTCTTTTTGCCCATCTCCCAGATTGCCAAAGCTGCAGGAAAACAAGATGAGTCACGTACAAAACTGACAACCACCACAAAATAACCCACTTAAAACAGCTCCTAGCTTCACTTGGGACAAAAAAAAGGTGGAGTTCTCCAGAGCTCTTCCAAATGCTGAGTGCATGGGCTATGAGCCCTGACTGCACTGGGAGGAAAATGGGGCACATTTTCCACGAGGCTTAGCAGCATTTTTGAGGCTAAGAGCTTGGAAATATAAAATTGGCATCAAGGCTTCCAGAGACTTCCCCACTCCAATATCCTGACCAGAAATCCTAGGAGCTGTTCTGTAAATCTGATGGTTCAGAAACTCCTTGAATAAAACATCCTGATATCAACATGAGCAGGTGGAGCCTGTGGAACACTGCAGTGCCTGAACTCCTCCTGCCACCTGGGGGGTGCTGCTCCATGGACATCAGAGTTATCTGGCACAGGTACCCAGGGAACAGAGGCCTCATCCCAGCCACCTGAACAAGTGTCACCCGCAGCCCAGAGCCTCAGGTCTCCACAGCAAAGCCCACAGACACGGAGCCCAAGAGCTCAGCAGGGTTTGATCCAGCTCTGTGGTGGCYCTGGGCTCTGAGGATCCTGTGTGTCTCAGAACACAGGAGATCCCGATGCCCACCTGGGCCACCCCAGTCCACCAGTAATCCAGTTCTCACCATGGGCACCAGCTCATTCACCCAGTGTCCAGTTCCCAGTTCCCAGTCCCACGGTCCCCTCTCACGCTATAGTGAATTTTTAACACCCTTGCTCCCTGCAAATGCTGGAATATAAATCTGGGGATGGAAGGGGGTGACAGCATTCTGGAGAAGGCACCACCCATCCAGGCCTTCACCTCCACTCTGTGCCCCACACAAGGACAGAGGGGAGCAGAGGGAGCATCTCTCACAGCAGCAACATCCCTAGGAATGAGGTGGCCCCACGGCGTGACAAGATACACCAAGCCCACAAATGCCGAGGACAACACTGAATCTACCTGGAAAAATCCACAGCCAGCCCCAGCCAGGCAGCCAGCCTGAGGAGTTGGGTTTGTTCCCAGGAATGGCCCACTCTCCCAGAGTATCCCAACCATTCCTGTCTCTGTGCTGCAGACAGCAGGCTCTCTGTCAAGCCATTCCTTTTTGGTTTAGCCTATCTACCCCAATCTCTCCTAAAGATAACAGATACAGCTGTCCTAAAGAAAAGTATTAATAAAGGAGAGTTAAACCAAGCTAATAGAACACCCTGAGAAGCATTTTCTGCAAGAAGATGAGATCAGCCGCATTCCATGCTCACTCTCCCGGAATAACTGCTCAGACCAGTGACTTTGAGCTGTTCTGGGAATGCTCTCCCAACTCAAAGCTGCCATGAAGCAGCAAGAACCTGAGAACACAAAGTGAGCATAGAGCTGCAATGCCAGAGGGGCTGCATGTCATGGTACACACAGCAGGACCTCGATGGGACCCACAGTCCCCAAGGCACAGCTCCCGTGATCCCATCGGACCCACAGTCCCTGAGGGCACAGCCACCGCACCCACAGCCCCTGTGATCCTATTGCACCCACAGCCCCATGATTCCATTCCCATCCACAGCCCCTGTGATCCCATCGCACCACAGTCCCCCAGGCACAGCCACTGCACCCACAGCCCCTGTGATCCTATTGCACCCACAGCCCCATGATCCCATTGCACCCACAGCCCCTGTGATCCCACTGCACCCACAGCCCCTGTGATCCCATTCCTATCCACAGCCCCCATGATCCCATTGCACCCACAGCCCCGTCATCCCATTCCCACCCACAGCCCCAGGATCACCCAGGCAGGTGGGATGGGTTGACCCAACTTGCACACTCCAGACCAGGCAAGTGCAGTYTGGAGACCAATCCTGCTCTCCAGGATCCCCCATTCAGCCCAGCCTGAAATCCTACAGCACCAGGATTTCTATTCCCAAAGGAGAATCCTGAGGTCTCCAGCCACACACACCTGTTTATTTGACAGATGATAATGAGAAAACATCCTCACATTTTTTTTCCAGGAGTAATCCAGAACTATAAAATGGCTGACAGCCATAAATATTTATAAAGATCATATTTCCTGCCTCAGCTTGCTGCAAATCAAGGATCCTAGGATTCCCAAACAGGAATAAAGGAGGAAAATGAGCTCAGTGATGCTTTGCCAAAATACATCCAAGACAATTGTTACAGATCTCTCTGTAACATCCAGATCTCCAAAGCAATGCCAGAGACAGTGAGTGAAAAAGTGACCCTGTTACAGTTCATTTCAAACCGAGATTTCTCAGTGTTTTAATCACTGTGCAGAAAGGGTTAATTAATGCTCCACTTCAGACCCTGCTGGGCTTAGGAAAACCAGCTTGGTGAAGTTCCAGGTCCTGCCATGTGCCACCCCACAAAGCCCAGCCTTTGCTGACTGTCCTGTCAGCAGCAAGAGGACAGTCCAGGCACCTGGAGAGCGCCACTGCTACTTCCCCGCTCCAGCAAATCAGGGAAGAGGCAGGGGTTTGTAGGGAGAGCAACACTAAATGAACAAGCATTACACAGCACAAATCCCACAGCCCACCCAGCACAATCCACCACCCTCATCCTGGCTCTGGAGCCGCTGCCAGCAGCCTTCTGCTCCACCATGTGCACGGACACATGGAACAGCCCCCTCGGCTCGCATCTCCTTTTCCTCCCTGCAAGGGTCGCCTCACCCTGGCTCAGCCGCTCCCCATGCCGCAGCTTCGAGCTGTGTCCATGTCATGGCTGGGGACAGCAGGACGCTGCCGGGGCTCACAGCGGCACTCAGTGCATCCTCCTCCCCTGGACTCTGCCGGGGCCGATCCCGCAGCAGCACTGAGCCCTCCCCACTCCCGGCATGGCGTCACCGGCACCGTCACCAGAGCCAGCCCTTGCACCTCGCCGGGGGGGCAGGATCGGAGCAGCACCGGGAGAGGGTCAGGCTCATGGGCAGGGACACAGCCATGAGCAATCCCCAAGCAGCAAGTGGAGCCGCTCTAGAAGCACACAGCACGTTTTATCTGGGAGAATGAATACCCAGGCACTAAAATCGGTTTGCTGTTGCAGACTGGGAGCTGCAGAGAGGAAAACTGGCTGCTGAATCCTGTTTGGGCTCACAAACACCCGAGACCGGGAGAGGTAAATTGGGAACTCCGACCTCAGGTTGTGGAGCCACAGAGGTGGCTGGGGCAGAAGGGACCTTAATGACCATCTAATTCCACCCCCCTGCCACGGGCAGGGACACCTTCCGCTATCCCAGGCTGCTCCAAGCCCCGTCCAACCTGGCCTGCAACAGTTCCAGGCAGGCACAGGTCCTCCAGGCACCCTGTGCCAGGGCCTCACCATGCTCACAGGGAACAATTCCTTCCCAATATCCCATCCATCCCTGCCCTCTGGCACTGGGAAGCCATTCCCTGTGTCCTGTCTCTCCATGCCCTTGTTTCCAAGTCCCTCTCCAGTTCTCCTGGAGCCCCTTTAGGCCGTGGCAGGGGCTCTGAGGTCTCCTTGCATCCTTCTCCTCTCCAGGTGAGCATCCCCAGCTCTCCCAGCTTGGCTCCAGAGCAGTTCCAGCCCTCAGAGCACCTCCATGGCCGCCTCTGGACTCTCCAACAGCTCCATGYCCTTCCTGTGCTGGGCCCCAGGGCTGGGGCAGCTCTGCAGGTGGGGTCTCACTTGAACGGGGCAGAATCCCCCTCCCCTGCTGCCCATCCTGGGCCCAGGGCACAGTGGGTTTCCAGCACCATGGCCAGGGCATGTTGAGCTTCTCATCTASCAAGACCSCCAGTCCTTCTCCTCAGAGCTGCTCTCCAACCATTCTCCCCCCAGCCTCGATCTGTTCCTATTAATTATCCCAACCCAGGTCCTGGTTCCACTTCACTCCACAACCCAAGCCCAAAAATCCACCAAACCGGACCTTTAACCATGGAGGGACACCCATAGCTGGGATGCTGCTGGGACATTGCCTGCTCTGCACCCCATTCCCACGGCTCTGCCCCAAGTCAGGACGCAGCACAGGAAAACACGCATTTATCAACAAGCTCCTGAAGCGGTGGGCCAGTCCCTGATGCACTGACAGACAAACCCCTTTCTCTTCCCACCCAGCTGACATCTTCCTTGCTGCAGAACTCCCAGAAAGATTCTTTGCTCACTAGCTTTCCAGCGGGCAGGCACTGGATWTTCCTTTTGTCCTCTGGGCACAGTCAGACTTCAAAGGCTCTCCCGACTCCAGCCCCACGAGCAGCCTTTATCTTGCCTTTATTCAATGCACACAGAGCTCAAAGGGGCTGGTGATTAAGTTCCTCGGGCTCCAATTTGCTGGTGATAACTTGTCATTCACACATTGTCTGGGAGGCTGAAACTCTGCACCCTCCCCACGATGACTTTGGTCTCTCTGATAAAAGCTCCAGGGTTCCGTCTGAGGTCAAGGAGGAAGGCGAGTGAGAAAAGCAGAGGAGATGAGCCAACTCAAGGCTCCCACTTCAATTTTTAATTTCATTTTTAATTTAAAATGGAGAATAATTCGCTGCTAAAACCTGTTTGTGCTCATAAGCACCAGGAATCAGTGAGGGTAAACTGGGCACTCAGACCTCTGACCATGGAGCCACAGAAGGGTCTGTATTGGAAGGGACTTAAAGCTCACCCCATTCCACCCATGCCATGGGCAGGGACACCTTCCACTATCCCAGGTTCCTCCAAGMCCGGGCCAACCTAGCCTTGGACACTTCCAGGGTTCCAGGGGCAGCCACAGCTTCCCTGGGCACCCTGTGCCAGGGCCACCCCACCCTCACAGGGAACAATTTCTTCTTAAATCTAACCTAAATCTTCCCTCTCTCAGTTCAAACCCATCCCCTGTCACTACCTGCCTCAATTCTTGCCTTTAGAGCTCAAAGAGAAAAAACCTATTAAAATCCTACAGAGAAAAGAAGACTTTCCACCATTGAAACATTTCTGAGAGAAGAGGGGACTAGTCCTTTGCTCCCTAGAACTTAAAGCTCATCCCGAGGCTGCCATGACTCCCAGGCATCACAAGACATCCTTCCTCCTGCTGTGWGAGCCACTGAAGGACCACTGAAAGAACACACCAGACTCCCAGCATCGCCACCTCACTACAACACCCACCAGAACTCCTTTAACTTACTCAGGGGAAAACAYTGGTGTTCCAATAGTTTCAGAAAGGGATATCCAGGAATCAGCATGCCCCACCCTCATAATAAGGTTGGTAGAAGCAACCCCTCATCTAGGAGACAATTCACGGCAAGGCAGCTGTTCCAGCAGGTTTTGCTGAAGGAATCAGGCCTCACAAGTCTTGTATTTCTTCCCAAAAAGACTCCATCACCAGGAATGCAGATGGAATCTAGCTGACTATGTTCTGGGTACCCATGAAGCTCTGGACACAATTTTCTTTAGAAGATATTAMGCAAATTAAGCTGTTGAGGAGTAACAAGGAAAGTTTCTCACAGAAAAGCAACAGGCTGAAGAGGCAGGATGATTTATAAATCCCTCTGTTTTCAAACAGGAGGAAGGCAACACTGGAATTCCACTCAATTCTGCCTGTCCTGGACTATCCCATGTATTTTTAAGTGGTGCCCACGCTTAGGGAATGTTCTTGGTGACCAGCATCTCCGGGGCTGGCTCTGGAGACTTTTAGAGATGGGATACGAGGGAGCAGGAGAAACTCACTGCCAAAATCCAAGGTTTAGGGGCAGAGAAGAGACTGCAAAGCACCTCGTGCTCTGAGCCTGACGTCCAGTGTCTGCAGACAAGTCATTGCTCAACCCTTGAGAGCAGGAAACAGCTCCTTTATTTTTAATCCCTTAAACTGAGGAGCAGCAGAGATTTCCTGCTGCACCAATGTACCTTGAACATCACGTGGAGTTCTGGGCACCTTACTGTGACACATTTACTGTGACATGAAGGTGATGCCATTAAGGCAAAACAACTTCTGGGAAGACAGGTGACCTTTAAAGGTTCTCTACAACCCAAACTATGTCATGGTTATAGGATTCTATACCCTTGATCTAAAAAAAATCCCTTAAGGATTCTGTACCCTTCCTTGCCCCACCCCAGGAATCCTTTGGCCAAGATGCAAATCCCAGCTCTGACAATTTTGGGGAAGTACRGTTAAGATTCCCTTGTTGTGTGGTGTAACTCCATTAACTTAGTGCCAAGACTGCAAGRAAAACTAGAAAAGTATCAGGAGATTTGATTAAAAAGGCAATTTTGGCTCCCAAGCACAACTTAACAGCCTGGACTAAAACATCAAGGAAAGCCTTATCTGTTACATTTTACTGATGAAATGCTGAAGTCCAGCCAGGGGGAGATAAGAGAGAGAGAACCTGTCACTCCTAGTGAGGTTTCAGAAACACAAATAGGTGTGAGGAGCCACTGCAGCTGGGTTGAGAGCATTTTGACTGAAGGAAGCCYGAAGCAGTTGGAATATCTGCATTTTGACAGTGGTTGGCTCCCAGCAGGGCCCTGCCACTGTCACTGCCAGTCCAGGGCTTCTCAGAGGAGCTCCAGCTGCCACAGGTGCTCTGGAATTCCACATCCACCTGGCTGCAGCAGACACTTCCCCCTCTGGTCACCTGGCAGGAGCTGGAAGCCCCACTTCTGCATGTTGTTTCAACCTGAGAAGCCACCACCCTTGTAAGAGAGTTTGACAGCCTTGGAGAAGGGAGAAGGATAAGGCAGGGTTGGGTCCTGGTTGCCACAGGCGTTATTAACTCGGCCCTGTCTGACACCCCACAGGATGCAGGGAGCTCTGCAAGGAGAACCTTGGCCAGCGCCTCCCAGCTGCACCCCCACAACTTCGGGTTTCACACCTGGCACCCAAACATCTGCCAGCAAACATCTGAACTCATCAGGGGAAGTTGACAGCGAGAACTGAAACTGGCATTTGGGCAAGGAGCTCTTCCCCCTTTAAAATTTCCTCTTTTGCTTCTGTTTCACCTCGCCTGAGAACTTGAGCATCCTGTCAACAGAGAGAGCAGGGGAACCAATCCTCAGAGATTTGGTCTTAAAATGTGCCAGGATGGCACAGAAATGTGTTCAGGGTGGATATTAGGAATATTTCTTCATGGAAAGGGTGGTCTAGCCCTGGCACAGTTGCCCAGAACAAGAGTGGAGTCCCCATCCCGTGGAGGGATTTCAAAGTCATGTGGATGTGGCACTTGGAAACATGGTTAATGGCAGCCTTGGCAGGACTGAGACTTGCCTCTCTTGACTGAGACTTGATGGTCTTAGAGGACTTTCCCAGCCCAAACAATTCTGTGATTCCATGATTCAGTGCCACAGATATGGGGCAGGCCCCTGAAATGTCACAAGCAGCATCACTTCAAGCCACAAGTGCCAGTGGGGCAGAGCTCTGCTTTTTTCACAGAAGGACCCACAGCTCTTCCAACATCCTGAGCAGAGCTGGGAGAAGCCTGTTTGAGCAAGGAGAGGAACAACCAAGTGCAGTTCCAGGCAGCAGCAATACCAGCTCAGCTTGAGATACCCACCACTTCCAAGCKCCATGGAATAAAAATCTCCTGACAGGGAGTTAAAAGATTCAGCTCCTCTCTAAACATCAAATGTGAGCAGAGGTTTCACTCCAGAGAGCTGGTACCATTCTCCTTTGGGTGGATGGGACCCAGGACACGACATGTTCAGGGTGTCAGTTGTGCACATGTGCCCTCTGGGCAGGRACAGAGGGTGTTGAGCCACCCGGGCAAGTTGATCTGTCAGAGTTAACACAGCCACTGCTACACATAGAACACTTCCTCCCAAAAGGGACCAGGCCAGGGGCACAAAGATCACATGCCCCTCAGAGGACCCCCAGTAGAAGAACTGGCAGTTTGGGCTCTGGGCAGATGGCATTTTTGGAAAGTCTTCCCTCCCAGAGGCACAGTGCGGCACTGGGAAGTTTTGAACCTCCCAGGAATGGCTCACAGCCACCCTTCCATGGCACTCACATCCCTCCCTCCTGGCACCRCCAGCTCTCCTCTACAGCAGCTACTTTGGAAAGCTCCAGAAAGGACTCTCCTGAAACCAGAGGATGTGCTCCATGTCATAGCACAGGAACCACACGGACAGAGGGCGCAATCCAGCACAGAATCCGGCAAACTCTTCACCCTGATACCAGGAAACACCAGACCCATCCTGGACAGAGGCCAGCAGGACCCACACAGCAAATATTACYATGAAATCCTATCAAAAGCCATCAGGAAAACCAGAAAGGGGACAGCTTGTGGGCGTTACCTCCCATCTCCCTGTCCAGTGGCGGGTCATCGTCTGCCATGGAGAAATCCATGGATGCTCCAGCTATTTCCAGCATATCTTCATCGCTGGTGGCGCTCTGGAAGCTCTCCCGACGATAGCCCTTCTGATCCATGGCCAGAGCTTCCAAACCTGGGAGCAAAGAGAAGGYTTTTAGAGCACAAGCAGAAAACTCATTTTCTAACCCAACTGAACTGACACTTGACCCTGGAGACCCAGAGGCTGCACTGCTCTTCCCATGGAAAGGGTGGATGTAGTGACATCACCTGAAGTTCAGGCTGGAATTCCTAGGATTTGGAAAAGCTTTACAACTCTCTTGTACTAGACTTCAGAGTGCCACATGCCACAAACAAAGGGCAGGTCYCAGTCCAGCTTCTGAACCCACCTAGGGAGCCATAAACACGGCAGCAATGGGCCTTGAAAGTACAAGTTTAAAACCACTGCACAGCCAAGAGGAGAGTCCTTCCCTAACAGGGACCCTACATCCATTCTCTACTCATCAATTTGCTGAAAAAGGCTCAAATTGAATTCTGATAACGAGCTGCCATCCTTAAGTCAGCTCCAGCAAAGCTACGAGACCACAAACCAAACCATCCCAGATTGAAGAATCCTGTCTCAGCTGTACCATCCCGTGTCATCACCGCCACGGCTTCTGCTCCAGTGATCTGACCACCACCCCTGGCACAGCCTGGATGCCTCAGATCATGTCCTTCTCTACAGAAATTCAACCACATTAGAGAATCCCAGAATGGTTTGGCTTGAAGGRACCTTAAGGCTCATCCAGTCCCACCTCCTGCYATGGGCAGGGACACCTTCCACTAGGGCAGGCTGTTCCAAGCCCCAGCCAACCTGGCCTTGGACACTTCCAGGGATGGGGCAGCCATAACAGTATTTCCAAGCTCTTGATCTAAAACATCACTTAAGGTATTTCCCTTATCTCCTGTGTATCTCCCACAGGCTGTGAAGGAGCTTCTATCTGCTGATCACTGCCAGACAAAGCAAAAATCATGTGGGTCAACAGTGTCAACCAAGGCAAATGYCACCCCCTGATGTATTCATTAAACAACCTCCACACACGCTCTCAACAGGTTTGCAATAAGTTTTTTTTGGCCCCACAAATCTCAAGGAGCTGCCCAYGCCAGACCATGACATGAGACCCGTTGTCTCTCCTCCCCTTTTGCAGAACAGCAAAGAAACTACAAAAGCTCTGAAAACCCAATAATAAACTAAATTAGGGGAAAAATAATCAGATCTGAGCCTCATGAACAGCTCTTGCCACCTAGAAGTGGGAGTCCTTGCATCCCCATGAGAAGACAGAACCACAGAATCATTTCAGTTGGAAAAGATCTCCAAGACAATCAAGTCCAACCTATGACTGATGCCCACCTTGTTACCAGCCCAGAGTACTCAGTGSCACGTCCAGGCCTTCCTCGAACACCTCCAGGGATGGGGACTCCAAAGCTCCCCTTCCAGTGCCTGACCACCCTTTCCATGGGGAAATTCCTGCTGATGTCCCCCCTGGCCCAGCCTGAGGCCGTTCCCTCTCCTCCTGTCCCTGTTCCCTGGAGCASAGCCCGACCCCCCCGGCTGTCCCCTCCTGTCAGGGAGTTGTGCAGAGCCACAAGGTCCCCCCGGAGCCTCCTTTGCTCCAGGCTGAGCCCCTTTCCCAGCTCCTTCAGCCACTCCTGGGGTTCCAGCCCCTTCCCCAGCTCCACTCCCTTCCCTAGACACACTCCAGCCCCTCAATGTCTTTCTTGTCTCCAGGAGCCCAGAACCGACCCCTGGGTTTGAAGTGGGGCCTCAGCAGTGCCCAGCACAGGGGACAAACACTGCCCTGGTCCCAATGGCCACACTGTTCTTGATCCAGGCTAGGGTGCCTACCTGGACTTACTGCTGGCCACGTCACTTTGCTCTTGCAAACACCTTTTTTTTCCAAAGAATGAAGAGAGGAACCAACTACGCAGCTCAGCCCTATTCCAGGAAGGGAAAACACCAGCCAGCACCTCCCAACAGGCTGAATTACACACTTTGCAGAAAACACTTCCTATTAAACAGAAACACCACAGCACACACAAAAAGCCTTGGCACTGCACAGGGTGCACTTTGCTGAGCCTTACACTGTGGAACACTGTGCTTCTTAACTTTTAAGGTGTGTTTTCTCATTAAACTTGTGCAGAAGATCCCAGAAAACYGGGAGCTGACAGGAGGCAGCTTGGAAAGGCACATGAGCTGCTGCACACCCTGAGAGCACACAGACAGTGTGGCCTGCAGAGCCAAGGGCAGGAGAAACCCAGCTAACAATCAAAGTAATCAAATGGCATTAAAATGCCATGATGCTTCCTTGGTGAGCTGCTTCCAGAGAGCACTGTGGATCCAGCTTCCAGCYTGGGAGGCAGCGATGGCTCATTCAGCCTGGCAGAGAATTAAGGAAGTGTGCTCGTGAGTCTCAGGGCGTGTTTGCAGCGTAACATGGTTTTACAGGGATTTCCCAATAAGATTCTGTGTGTGTAAATATGTACAATGGAGAGTCAAAATATCTCTGTATTTGTACAATCTTAGAAGGCGTGAGTGTGAGGAATCTTAAAGCTGATCCCATCCCGCCCCCTGCCATGGGCAGGGACACCTTCCACTAGACCAGGTTGCTCCCAGCCCCAATGTCCAGCCTGGCCTTTGATACTTCCAGGGATCCAGGGGCAGCCACAGCTTCTCTGGGCACCATGTGCCAGGGCCTGCCCACTTCATAAGGAAGAATTTCTCCCCACTATTCCATCTAAACCTCTCCACTTTGCACAGAAAGCATCAGTTCCTGCAGCCAGAGTCCCTGCTGGAGGAGCAGAAACCAGAAGAATGGCACCTCCTGCTCCCCCCCAATCCCTCCCCGAGTCTGGTCTCATTTCCAGCTCAAACCCACTCATCTACCCAAAACCACRGCAGCAAACATGGCACCTTCCAGCCACAGCAGAGCCCAGGAACACCCAGCACCACAAGGAGGGCACAGAGGAGGAAATTCCATGCTCACTTCTTCCTGCAGTGCCTGGAAACACAGGTTTAAGACACCTTTTCTTACCAAAATGCTCCCTCTACAGGTGAGCRATGCTTTCCCAGGCACAAAGAGTAAAATAAAATAAAAAACAGACCATTCGCATGCTTATCTAGTTGCTAATTTACCACAACTCTCCACCAGGCAACAGCCGCCTCTTTGCACAAGCCCTGGCAGTGCCAGAACCCCCGGAGCACATGTACGTACCCCATGGCTCCCGGTGTCCCCAACGCCTGTGTGACACCATCATCCTCCAGCAGCTCCCATCCACCTCCTCCACCCTTCTACTCCGTCCTGGTGTTCCCCAACGCAGTCAAAGAAAGGGAAGCAGCAAAGCAGAACACGCCGCCTGGAAGTGACTCAGATGACAGCACAGGCAGCAGGAAGCCGAAGCCTCGCTACCATCCCGCCTGGATGTTCAGCTCTCACTGCCATTTCCAAGTCAAAAACCAGGCATTCCAAGGTTTTCTCCTTGTTTCACTCTTCGGTGTCACCCAGCAGGACGGGCTCCCTCAGTCTCGCCATAACACCCATCCCAGGGCCACCAGGGGATGGGACCGGGACATGGGACCGGGACTGCGGGAGCTCCGCCCCTGCCATGCTCRGAGCAGCCCTTCCAGCACACGGGCTCGAGGCTTTCCCAGTCAGCGCAAAAAAAGCTCCCGCAGCATTTTTTCCTCCCTGTCACAGGAGAGGGTTGACCCCGGCCCCACACGGACATCACACCAGAAGAACAACACCAGGAGCAATCTCATCCAGCTGCTTCTGGAGTCACTCCCGTTGTGGGAAGGAGCCAGTTTACCACCTAGTGGCTGTTTCCTCTGGGAAGCCAAAAACCTTAATCATGAGACTGGGGGATTTTTAAAGATCAGCAAATCTAAGCTGAGCTTTGACAGCTCAGGGCTCTCCTTCCTCCCCAGCCCCCCCATGATTCTCAGGAACATCCCTTCCCACAAATACCAGATCCAATGGGACACAAAGGAGGAAAAAACTGCAAAATAAGCCAATTGTAACTGGAAAGAAAAGAAAAAAAAAAAGAGAGAGAGAAAAATACAGCATTTAGTTGCTAGGTCAACACTCCTGGTGCCTGGCTGAGAGCCAGCAAAGCCAGGCTTTCAGAAAGTTTTCTGCAATGGCATGSGTTAGAAGGGACCTCAAAGTTCATCCCACCCCTATCATGGGCACCTTCCACTATCCCAGGTTGCTCCAAGCTCCATCCAACCTGGCCTTGGACACTGTCAGGGACAGGGAGTCCACAACCTCTCTGGGCAACATCATCGCTCTACAGACTCCCTCTAACATTAAAAAATGCCCTCATTTCCCTGCCTGGGAGCAGAGGAAGGGACTCCACAAGGGAGAAACACCATCTATGTGTGAACTGAGAGAGACAGTWTAGATTTTGTTGCATTTCAGCCCTCAAAACATGGAACCCTGTGCAGGAGGAGTTGAACTGAGAAGGCTCATGGACAACTGTRCTGCCAAATTCAATACCCCAGGGAGGGGCCAGCCCTATGTCCCCATGCTGTGACAAAAGAGCCAAKGATTTGCCTTAGGCAGGTCCAAGACAATGTTATTTTTCCCAGCCATTCCCTCCACAATTCCCTGTGCTGTCTGAAGTGACTACAACCAGACACCACTTTGATAGAGAGTAAACTACACCAAATTTACAAGGGCCTAGAAAGACAGGACAAGGGGAATGGCTTCACCCYGAGGGCAGGGTTAAGTGGGATAYTGGGAAAAAATTCTTCCCTGGGAGGGTGGTGAGACCTTGGCACAGGTTCCCAGAGAAGCTGTGGCTGCCTCTGGACCCCTGGAAGTGTCAAAAGCCAGGCTGGATGCRGCTTGGAGCAACCTGGTTCTAGTGGAAAGTGTCGCTGCCTGTGGCAGTAGATGGTCTTCAAGATCTCTTCCAAGCCAAACCATTCCAGGATTCTATGACAGTTCCATTCCCACGGTGGCCAAGGAGGGCTCAGGCACTCCCCCAGCCTTGCGCTGCAGGAGCAGGATCCTGGAGAAGCTGTCCCCGCTGAGCCAGAAGCTCAGAGCTGTGCTGGCCCTGGCACAAGGCTGACCTCTCCAGGCAGCCTCTCAC